AGTCTGAGGAACATAACTGGCACAAATCAGGAACTTACGCCTGTGTTTATGACTACGGTGGAACCAGGATTATCGCGAAGATCCGGGAATACCACGTTTACCGTAAGTCTTTATTTCTTTCTCAATAAGGTACTTTCGCCATTCTGAACTAAAGATTACTATTGTTATTAGTTGTTATTTTGTATCTACCTCGGCGAATAGGCATTTATTAACCGCAGAATTTAATTTCACTTTGTTGAGAACACCTTTGAAAATGCCCTGAGCTCACTTACAAATGAGCTGAGGGGATAAAACGAAGTCTTAAGTATTCAAAGTTTATTATGTCATTACCAACTTAGTAAACCTATCGCCTGTGAATAAATGAATTCTCATGACGTTATAAGAAACTTTCGAGGCCTTGGCGGCAAGCTCGAGCGGCAAGCTTAACGCAAACGCGAACCATATTACCTTTTACTCAGATAATCTTTGCGATCTGCATGAACAAGTCCAGGTTTTCGTACAGTGGAGAGTAAATGGTGGAACAGCAGGTGATGCATCCCGATCGTGTCAGCTATACCAGACATTACGTGATGGTAGCCTTCGAGCGTACGCATGAAATACGACACATTTAACCCTTTTCACAAACCCTGTTGTCACCCAATCAAATCACCTAACCGCTGTTACCTGGATACACTTTTAGGACATGTGAAACAGGACTGCCTCCCTGCAATACTCGCGCAGAGGCACGTCCAGGTCTTGGGCGGTCACGTATCAAATGCGTTGAACGTCATCAACCCTCTACGTGAATTCCACACTTCCTCCTATCGCATTCTTTCTTCTCAAAAATGGGACTCAGTCATTATAAGTACAACTGTCGGAGTTTGAGGCCGATCTCTTGCTTCCCGCAAACGGCGAACTTACTCATGTCTGAGGAAAATGAATTGCTCACCGGATCGGGGGACTTTTCTGGCTGACGTTTCGAAGAGCTGGGGCTACTCTCCATTGTCAAAACGTCAAGTGAAAAAATCGATCATCATTTTTGAATAGACTGCCGCATTAGTTGGCCTTGGGCTGATCGACCCCAGGCAACAATTCGTAGCCATTTAATGTAACCCAAAGACATGCTGCCACCCACTGAAACCTCAGCAATTGTCTATCACATACGTTGTAACGATGCAGACTGCAACTACGTTGGGTAAACCGGACGGAAACTGCAGACCCGCCTACATGAGCACGGAGACTGGCAACACGGAGATTAGACCCAAACTCAGAGCTTGCGGCTCACATCGGGGAAACTGGTCACAGTTTTGATTATCAAGGAGCAGCCGTCTTAGGCAGGGGCACCTCAAGGACTGAGCGTCTCACACTTGAGGCTTGGTACTCAGATGTCAACTCCATCAACAGGCGTCTAGACCTTCCTTCGGCCTATAAAGTCCTACGTCACTTCATACAGCGTGACGAAGACAATACAATCATACGGAGCCTAAGAATGCCGGGCAAACACGGTCTGTCGACCACTTCACCCAAAAGGTGAACGCAAACGCAACCAACCCCAATTTAGGTGACGACACGTAATACAGGAGGCCACCAACACTCACAGGTGACGACCAGTAGACCAAGACGGTGAAAGAAGAAAAAAATCGATCAGCCCAAGGCCAACTAATGCGGCAGTCTATTCAAAAATGATGATCGATTTTTTCACTTGACGTTTTGACAATGGAGAGTAGCCCCAGCTCTTCGAAACGTCAGCCAGAAAAGTCCCCCGATCCGGTGAGCAGTTCATTCTCCTCAGATTACCGACCCGGATCTCTTACTTTTGCAAACCTTATTCATGTCTGCTGGATATGCGCTCGAAACGACTTTGTCGCCAGCATGCTGATACCACAACAAGCATTCATGGAGTGCATAAGTAAACGGTTTCTCCAAATGCGAATTGAGCATACAAATCGAATGGAATGAGGTTCGCAATCCCGAGCTTAAGAATAAGCGGTCAGGGTCAGGCTAAACCCCAGTAAGTCTTTTGGCATGGCGTATTGCGCGCCTGCCCTCGTAATTAGGCCAGACCAAACAAACTTTCGGATTGCGCATACATGAATTCAACGCAGCCATATGGTAGGATGACAAACTAGTAAAATTGGTAACCACCATCTTCTAAACAGGTTACGAGTTGATTGAATCCCTGACCGCTGAAGTGAACGCCACCAATCCTCATAATTGTCTTCTGCACGCCTACAGCCCTATGCGGACATTTCAGGACATGAGGCACAAATCATTCTTCAATTCACGTATTTCATGGCTGCCGACGGTTCTGCTGCCTTTATCATATCTGAAAATGGACTTTTATAGGAGTTTATAGGCTCCGGAAAATAAACAAGTAATTACTATTCCCGATCAAGATACTAAGAGCCTAGCTGCCTTAAGTCCACCCCAATTCATTTTACCCGCTCTCATGTTTCATGTTCATGAACCTTTTTAATTTAACACAATATTTAATAAGAGAATTCGTGGGTTACACTCCGAGGAAGAGCATAAGTCTGTTGACTGTGGCCTAGATTTCGGTGTAGGGCATGCCCATTTGCCGAATTATTGAATGCAGGTTTTGCCTCAAATGGTCAAGGCACTTTAGCCTTCTGCACATAAAAGGTTTTACTATCAATCACATTAAGCCTTTCTTACCACCCGGATGGCATTGATTTGCCAGAGAGGATGACCTGGGATCGAATCACCTTACAGAGCAGAAGGGCATGTCTGTTAGAGCTCGAAGGTAGGACACCGGATGCGAGGTTGAGGGATAATCCGGTTGACCCGATCTCGCAGCAGAGATCTTTGTTGTTTGGCTCGCTGATTTCACCTTATCTGACGTGGCGAATTATTTAACTCTTCTTTGCCACCCTGAGATCTGCGGAATTAGTCAAAATTCTGACAAAATGGAAATTCACCGTTAAGTATACTTTACTGCCATCAGAGACATCCCACGATGGGGATCAACACTGTGTTTTCTGATATTTAGTTGGCAGTGCTGGTTACTAAAGAGTAGATGCCAAAAAGTTAATGCGGACTACGCAAATCACTGACTGATTTCTGTCCTAATGCTCAGGTGAGTATAGTAGAAAAGTGTATCCTGTGAAGGTCGAAGGATGAAGACGATGACTCTTCTTCCGACGTAAAGATTTCTCCCTACTGTACTCTGTTAGCGCAATTGGACAATCATTATTATCATTGCAAGCAGATTTCATATTCAGGTAATTGAGTTCCCCATTGTACGTCCAGCGAGCTACAGTTAATCATTATTTGTCGAGGTAGCGATTATTGCTCTACGGCAGGTAGTCTACTTAGGCCAGAAAATTGTACCACCCACCCTGTCTAACATGCTGGTGCACTCTTCTTTTGGCAAAGCTTTCCTGACCATGACTATTCAATGTGGCGAGGTGGGCGTCGAACACTCTAGAAATATGTTCATGCATTCACGGGGCGACGTTTTCGAAGCATCTTCGGGTCGCATACTTGTTTAATTACAGAGGATTTTCAGTTCGTTTCGGTTTTATTTGAGAGAAATGTAGGTCTGCACCTTTGAACTCCCTATTTTTTCGCAGGCAAATTAAACATCAAAAAATTGTAAAAGGTATCATAAGGCTAAGAATTAAGCGGAAAAGCGTCAACTCTGCACAGATGGACAAACTGTCTCGAGTGTTAGTGGTAGGAGCAGTAGCAGAAGAGTCATGTGGAGTGCAGGGAAAGAAATAATATCCCGAGTGACAAAAATTGCATAGATGCATGTCAGGAAGCGTATACGATGAATTAAAGACAAGAAGAAATTCAATTAAAATGTTACAGAAATATAGCAAGTGGTATTATAACAACGGGATTTGTCGCACTTGTCACAGATACAGAAGTCGGGTGGTATTTTAGTGGACACCGCTAAACAAATTCAGCTTCTTCTTAAAGACCTCCAGTGAAGCAGACACAACGACATGCAGAGTCAGGACATTCTAAGCTTCGAGCCCTCTGTTAGAGAAGAACTTTCGTGTGTCTGGCCTGGCCCCAGTCACACGTAGTTTGAATGGATGACCTCGTAGGTTTGTAAACTCGAATTCCCCCGGTTCGAGGTTGATGCCCTGACTGCGTATTATACGGAGGGTTTGTTGCAGATCATTCCGTAGATGCCTGTAACTCAGGGAAAAGAGATCAAGGTAAGTTAGCCGTGTTCCATATGTTAGAGAAGCCTGCCATGTCACAAGCTTCGTTGCAAGCCACCGAACACTTTCGAGGATGCTGAGGTCCTTCGCGGTCCAGGATCTCCAAGCGTGGATATCGAATTCCATTTGCGGCCGCAGAAACATCCGAAAGACTTAAGCGAAGCAGTCTTTACCAAGGGCATAGAAAGCCCGCTTGACAAGGTAGAGAACTGACATCGCAGACTTGGCTACCTTTGCGCAGTGCAGCGAGGGTTAGGGCGAGGTCGTAATCCATATTCCCAAGTCTTTCTGCGAGTCCACTTCTTGCAGTGGTAAACCATTCAGGCATTAAACATGGGATTCGGAAATCTGGTTTGTGACTACTCGCATAATATTGCACTTGTTTTTAGTGAACGGCAAAGGCCAGTCATTTGACCACTGTTGGAGTCGGTTTAGGTTCGCCTGCAAATGCTCTGCGTCATCTGCAGTTCGAACGCAGTTTCAAAGCTTAATAACATTCGCAAACGTGGCGATACTACAGTCTAATTAACTAACGCATTCGTCGATATAAATAATGAACCGAGTAGGACGAATAACTGAGTCTTGGGGAACTCCGCTTTTAGGAGATTACCCCTAAGGCCGTTTGGCTAAGTTTGTGCAGTAGTCGCTGATGTGTGACACTATCAAATGCCTTTTCAAAGTCAATATAGACGGCTACATGCGACGAATTGCCCGAGTCCAACGTTCCAAACAGTAGAGCAAGTTCTCCGCGCAAGACCCGTCGCTACGGAACCCATGATTTGCATCAGATAATAAATTATGCTGCTCTAAGAAGCGCATTGGCTCTCACTTAATTTTTCTTTCCGTAACTTTGTAGCAGATGGAGGTGAGGCTATTTGGTCCGTAATTATTTGCAGAGCCCTTGCTGCCACCTTTATACAGTGGTGTGATACGCACAGATTTCCAATTGGCGGACAAACAGCCGGCTTCGTACGAGGCTTGGAAAAGCATGGACAGTGATTTGGCTAATTCGGCAGCGAGCTCCTTCAGTAACGTAGGTGGTATGTAGTCTGGATCCGGTAATTTCGACTCATTGAGCGCCATCAGTTCTTTACGAACAGTCGCTTCATCAAAAGATACAGCTTCAATTCTTGGACTCTCATCGAAGTCGTAGTCGGGAGGAGTAAATGCGCTTTCACTCATGAAGATGAATTTAAAAATTGTGAAAGGTGTTCAGCTTTTTCTCCATCCTCATTAATTTCCACGTCTCCACTTGTCTTCAGGACAGGGATTGGATCTCTGTTTTGTGTGCCGCGTCTAATGTAGTTGTAGAATAATTTCGAACTTTCCGCAGCGCGATTCGGTACGTTTTTTTCAAAATTTTGTTGTATCCTGCGGGCAAGTCGCTTGACTACGAACTTCTGTGCTTTATGTGCGTTTATGGAAACAGATCCCTATCAGTGAGAGATTTCTGCCACAACCTCCGCTTTTTATTTACTTCCCTTTTTTAACACTTAAGTTTAAACCACAGAGGTCGATTTTTTAGCATTTTCCGTGAAAGCGGGCATTGGTTTCACAGCAGAACATGCAATAACTCACTGAACCATTCCGAATACTCCGCTATCTTTCCGAAAAAAAGCTGATTGCCAGTCTATTTTGTTGATTTCCGCCTTCATTTGCTCGAAGTCACCAAGTCAAATATTTCATCTAATTCTGGTGGGCTGTTCTGGTACAGAAAAACTTGAACAATCCCAGTGTAGTACGATGTGGTCGCTTCGACCTAGGGGAGGCAGACATCGCACCTCATCTATGCTGTCCAGCGATTTCCTGAACACCAGGTCGATGCAGTTTGACTGATGCCCCAAACACACCCTCGTGGGCAATAAGATGTGCTGAGAGAGAAATGACCTGAGTGCCATGTCCAAGAAAAGTCGGTCGATAGCTGGTTCTGGGCCGCGCGCGCATATTCAACTCCAGTCAGTGAGCGGTGCATTAAAGTCGGGACGTCAGAACGGACAGCAAATCGTTCTGGTTTCTCTGACAGACGATCATCAGCCTCGGGGTCACTCCTCGTGGTCGATAGACGGCCAGAACTTCAAGGCTATGTGATCCCGGTACCCTTATAATGGGCCAGATAGGCTCTGCGCTGCACGAAATATTTTCTGGTTTTCTTTACCACAAGCAGTCCGTGTTTTACGTAAGCGAGTCCAAATTCAGATGTTTTATGCGCTCGAGGAATTGGTTCGCAGATGCTACTGTAGTTATTGAGCCTTCGGCCAAAAACATAAGTCGACCGGACACTCCTCCTCCACCTCCCTGACGCTCCCTCCTATCTCGTCGAAACAACTAAAATCCTAGTAGAACTTACTCGTGGTCATCCACGTTTTAAGACAGCCAGGTTTCTGTCAACGAGGTAACGTCGAGAGAAAGGTCACAGATGTGGATCTTAAATTCGTCCAACTTGGACCGTATACTTTGGAATTTGTTGTAAAAAATGTTAGTTTCAAAGTTTGGGGCGTCCTATTATGGTGTTGTTTGAGTTCGCATTAAAGGGACCTATTGCGCCCTCATTGTGATAGGCTCCTTCCAACGAATTAGGGTAGGCAACTGCATTATCTGGTCCCTGAAGATCACGAGATTCGTATGTCCATTCTGCAATCTTGTCCTCTCTGATGACCTGTAGTCCGGTTGAAAAAAGACGTCGAGGTTGGTGCCTTGGTTTGGAATTGTCATGAAAGAATAAGTCCTACATGTCCTTGGTTAGCTAACACAATCTTGAGTGGTCCGGGACGTGAATGCTCTAATATGTCGATTGAGCGCTTTTCAAGTCTAAGGACCTTGAGCACCGAGACTTCCTCATTGGCCTGCAGAAGTTATTTGGGTAGACATTGGAAGAGTTGCAGGTCTGCCTGGACGCGCTCTTTGAAGGCGTTGGCTGCGGATTCGGGAAGTCCCTAAATGATCAGAAATTGCCCTCTCTGCGGCGAACGTCTCGTGATCGCAGTGGTTTCGTGCCCCGACAAAGGTAATATCTGACGACGATATAAGCCGTCCCTGTTTCGTTTGCATGATCATAAAACTCGAAAGTTTTTTGCGAAAGGTTGAGGACTTTACGACCCATGCCATTTCCCGTGATGGGCGACGCGGACGCTGGCGTCCCTTGTTCCGGTTCCTCGCAGACATTCCTCGCAATGTGCTGTCCATTTCCCTCGACCTTCTTACTGCAAGATTTCTTTTTTCCTCCCGTTTTTTCGTTTCATCGCCGGTTCTTTTCGTCTTGTATTTTAAGTGTTTATGCTAGCGCTGCCGTGACATCTACGGAAGGTGTTGCTGGCGTGCCTTTTGTACGACGTCCTTTGGCCCCACCTCTAGTCGTTCGTCCAACAGGTACATTCGTATCGTGTGTGTAGTCTACATTGTAGAGGAGTTTTTATCTTTTCAATGTCTTCCGCTGGACGGTTGAACTTGCCGACCAACATCTGATATCCGCTGCAATTTCCATCGTTATCTGGTTAACCTGTACTACCAAGTGGACTTAGCGAGAGCAGTTGACGGCTTGCGGCGGTGGCCGAGGGGTTAGCGTGCATGACTAAAATGTCAGTGATTAGTGGGTCGGTCCCGTCCTGTGACATAACACATTGAGGGGCGGCGAAATGGACTAACGAAAATGGAAAAGGCTGAAGGAATAGCAAGCTTTTCCTATGGCACAACTTTACACAGGGTTTATGCTTATGTTGGGTATGCTGAATAAATTCCAGGATGAAAGGCTTAGAGAACGTTTTTTGACAAAATGACAATTTTCTGAGTTTAAGCAGCACAGTAAGCAGTGTGGAAATATCAACTCAGCCCTTTTGTAGATGCTGCTCCTAACTTTGGCAAGCAAACTGGGACAGTATATTTGATGGGTGGGCCCTGTAGATAAACCGAGATTTCCGACAGAAAGACGCTTTTGCTGAAGTTTGCTCGATCAAACGAAAAGAGTATTGATGGATAGTAGCCGGCGGATCCAAATCGATATGAATATAGTCAGAAATGCGTTTTATAATCAACTGTTTGGCGAGGGACAGTCGTTTACAGTAAAGAGACTCGATTGACGAATTTTTTATTGCAAATCAAAATTCAAGAAAGGAAATAGAAACTAGAAGACACATTTTGACCTGTGATTTACCGGCAGATAGCTTTGGATTAACGCCAAAGCAGGAAGGCCTGCCAGTTGAACCTTGGTCCAGGTGGCAATTTCACCCAACTTGCTTCCGTGCATCGTTTGATGGAACCAAATTTCTTTATATTTTGCTTCTTTTGGTGAGTGCACTATTAACTGATCGCCTTTACCTTCCCATTCCCACACAGCTGAACCAGTCTACACTGTAAAGGCCTATTCGGTTATCCTTTCGGAACCACAGCACTTCAAGAATATCCCTGTTGAGATTTATGCCTATCAATTCACGCGACAGCAGTCTCTGTACACAAATCGAGGCAAGGTAGAGAGCCGATGTACAAGGCACACCACAGAGATAGGACTTTGTCTTCGAATCTCAAATTGGAAATCCTATGGGTTGCTCGAAGAGATACGATACATGATAAAGTATGGTAAGTTAAGGTCATCTAACTTCCATAATTTGGTGTCATATCCAGGGCTTTGGTTATTGTTTTCCCAGTCTTACACGCAGTGTTTAGAGAAAATTCGAAAGAAAAATAATAAGACGAAGGAAAACTCGATCCGGCGTGAACATATTCCTATTGATCCTAATCGTGATCCGCTTTTCACAAACAAAAGCTGAAAATAAGATATTCCCATTTCAAAGTTATTTTTGTTTCAGACAACGACGGCACTTTTTCCTTGCGCTAAGGCAGTCTCTGCTGTGTATGGGTTAAGAAGGAAGTATAAGACATAAACAAAGTAAAGCACATTTAAATCTAGAGCAAATGCCCATACTTACATACGCTTTGACAAACCCGATTCACTGAGGAAATATTGTTAGACACCTTGGATTCACACCAGTTCGACCGTCGGGGTAGACGATTTCCTCATGTTTTCCGCAACAAGTAAGAGCAAAGCAGAGAAGGCGTCTTGTAACAGCAGACTTGCGCAACATATACTAGCTGGATCAATTGTAATATTTTAAAAGCTCGTAAGAGAGTTGACAGTAAGTTCCTGCCGAATTTACTCAGTGCCTACTTCCCGTTTAGCCTTTGTGGATTATTTGTAGTACCTATTTAGAAGCTGCAGGAAAAGGTTCACTGGCCAATTATGAATACGACCGTGTACGCCTTATTCCGCCCTACTATTTGTGCGATTTCGTAATTGGTGATCTCTTCTACTAGCTCTGCCCTGGAAGCTGGATCGAGTGACTATTCGACCAGACATCAATGTCGTCTTTGGGGATCTTGAGCCGCCCGCCATCGCTTGTGAATATGTCAACAATACACATACCAAGCACGCATTGAGGTGGCGCCGTAGGTCTGGCGTTAAGATGTTTGTGTCCAGGGCGTACCTTCTCATCCTACGTTTTAATATAAAGGACGGCGACGAGGCAACATATGAATGCCTCTATTACAATACTCGGATGATGTCGCGCACATTTACATTTATTGGTAAGTGAAGATTTTGGTCTTTCTGAAAACAAATCTCATGTGTCGCCTCAATATACGAGTCCTGTTAGCAGAAATGAGGTATGGGACCTGACCGTCGTTAGCGGAATCATTGTTCACTCGGAAGATTACACCCAGGAAACAGCGAACAGTTTGTCTCGTGTCCACAGCTTCGATGAAAGACGGGAGGACTGCGATGGCTATTTCTGGCATGTTACCCGTCTGCTCGCAGCCACACTCAATCTCAGGTTTGCAGGACCAAGGATTCGAAGCAGGATTCATGGGAAGTGGTCATACTGTGCGTGATTGGAATTTGCAGCTTAAATTTGATTGAACAGACCAAAGCAACCTGGGAGATTTCAGAGCATTGTGGTTTGCCGTCAGCTGGTATTCGAGTGGACGACTTTGTCCTAATTTACCGACGTGGTATCGGTCACCGTGAACGTAACTGACCCTACAGACCATGACCCAAATCCCTATATGACGCAAAGGGTTCTAGAGCGGCGTGACACGTGGTCTGATCGTGTTGCTTCTGTCATCCATCCTAACTCCAAGAGATATAAGCAGTCGGTGCACCTCAGCGACGACCTGTTTAAAGAAGGGGATCAATC